TAGTTTATGCACTTAAATGCACAAAATGTAAGAAGTCATATATAGGCATCAGCCAACAACTGAACAACAGGGTCTCCCTACAAAAAAAAAGCAATATAAAATTGACAGACAACAGAAAAACATTTTGTATCACAACACATTTTCAAATGTAACCAGGGTAAGTTTAATATCATTCCGATATATCAAACAGACAATTACTCGTATCTACAAATACAGGAAAAAAACTTTATAGACAAATTCAAACCCGAACTGAATAGATCGTAACCCCCCCCACAAAAAAAAAAAAAAAAACATGCACACAGGGTGACCAAATACAATGATCGCTCACATACATGGACGCACACTCATATACAGGAGACACGAGGAGAGATATATATATGTGTATGTACACATACACACATTTATGTATGTATATGCGGATGTTGACAACTTAAGAAGTACGTGTGTGTGTGTGTGTGTGTGTGTGTGTGTATGTGTGTGTGTGTGTGTGTGTGTGTGTGTGTACTGGTTCCATGTAGCTTGGGAAATATGTGTGTATATGTGTGTGTGTACTGACTACTTGTGGTGGGATAGTGTGTATGTGCGTATGTGTGTGTATGCGTGTATAAGTACAAATAAGTTTACGAATTCCTCGTAGTAAGGAAATATACGCACGCATATATACACGCATGCTGACAGGAACACGCCAAAATAGAAACAGATCCAAGAGCACATAGAGGTCACTAAAACATTAAAAGATTAAATGCCGATAACTACTCGCTGGACAAACCTTAATTGTTTTATGACCCTTCACGCAGAACTCTTCATTGACAATTCTAGAAAGAAAATTCGGATTGCCAACACACAAACAGAATGTCTCATATCGAGAATATTCCATATTGAACATGAAGAAAAAATTAATTATTTTTAATAATATGTAAAAATCTCCACTTTCACCTGAAGACGGTTGCGAGACCAGACCAGAAACACGTGTCGTGAAATTATGTAAAACAAAGTATAATATTTTTTTTTCTCAATAAATCCACATTACAACCAAAAACGTTTGCGGCACCCTCTTCTTTTTAATATACATACTTTTCTCTCATTGGAACCACTACAACATATTTATTTTATATATATATATATATATATATATATATATATATATATATATATATATATATATAAATTCCATCCGAATCCATTACATTTACTTACGTGCTGATACCATTGGGAAAAGTAAGAATACTTTTCTTCTCCTTCCAGCTATGGGTAAGTAGCAGAACATACTGGATTCTCTGGCTTTGGATGGCAACTGGTCGAGGAGAAGAGCAACTCTGAATTCTAAACCTGATAAGGATCGTTTTGGAACCTTGTGGTACATATTGCACCAGGTCTCTGCATTGGTCTCTTCAAAAAGTGTCGTTTGCTCTACACAAAGTGATCACCACTGTAATCAACTCATAAGTGGAAGTGTCTGGCTGTCGCTTACTAGGAATTTAGTTGCTAGACCCTCATACGTCGAAAGCGACTGGAGAGTCCAGCGTATATATGTTTCACTAATCAATTTAAATATTTATTTATTATTTTCAATAAAATCTTTCGTAATCACATATAAGCTCTCTTGTTTCTTAAGTAAATACAGGAAGAAATGCACTCTGGTTATATTTATTCATTTTTTTTTATTTTTCCCGGCTACATTCGATATTTTCCAATATAATTGTGTTTGTTTATAATTGGTGGTTTACCTGTTAAAAATTCAAGTCACAAATACTGATTTTATAAAATTATGTTGTCAGAGAAATTCTTGAAGAACATTTGTACTATATTCATAATTAATAATTTATTAATTAATAATTAACGATTTAACCACAAAATCCATAAAATTATTTCGGACAAACACAATTATTTTTCGTAGCCATCAAAACCCAGATTATGATATTGTAACATGTCGAACATACTCTGGAAAAATAAAAATGGATAAATGTAACCACAGTATCTTGATAGTTGTATTTAATCATCATACAACAAAGCGTATATGTGCTTAAGAAAGGATTTTATTGAAAATAAGTAAACATGATATGTCTAAATCGTTTAATCACACAAGTTAAATTAAAATGTGCTGCCAAAATATACGGAATATACATACATACATATATATATATATATATATATATATATATATATATATATATATATATATATATATATATATATATATATATATATATATATATATATATATATATATATATATATATATATATATATATACCATTACTGACATGTCAAGTCCATCAGTTACCACCCCCTCGAAAAAACTGCATTTATTTCTTGTTACATTTATGACATATCTAACTATATCCGGGTCGTAGAAATTGACTTTGAACATCAACACTTCCACTGTTGCCAGACCCAACCTGGACTTGCGCACTCTAGTGCAGGTCGAACATTCAAATCATGCCATATATGCAATAGATTGTTGGTGTCATTTCTGGTGACTGATCAGACCTTCCCTGGATGAGACATATCCGATTGCTTTGGGCACATGACCAGGTTGGTACCTCATGGGATCCATTCATGGATCCCTTCGAACTCCTCTCTTCAGTTCTGCATATTTTTGTGATACCTCATGGAAGATCTTGACGCCATCAGCAATATCAGCTCTCCAAGAAACCCGGTCTTCAGCTAGAGTCTCCTAGGTATCCAGACAAATATTGCACTTTTATAGTGACTCCTAAAGGCAATGCTTTTAACGAAATTTTGTCTTGTGCTGTGGTGTTTTAACCATTTGCAATTCTCCTTACACTAATTGTTTTGGCATTCTCTCATCTGCCATACGAATGACATAGCCGGTCTATCGCAAACTGCATTTGTATATAATTGCTTCTACAGAGAGTGAATTGGCCTTTTGTAGAACAATAGCATAATGGGTGTGAGACATCCAGTGGATCTCAAGTACAGAACGAAGGCATTGTTGATGAAGACGTGCCAGTGTCTTCAGATGTCTGCGACAGAATAACCATGTCTCACATGAATATAGCAGAGATGACATAACGCAGTCATTGTATGTTTTAATTTTTGTCTTCCCTTTTTACGGCCTTCTGACTCCAGACACGAAACTTGAGTGCTGCAAATGCATCGGATGTCTTCTTCATCCGTAACACTATTTCATCTTCAAGGAATCAGTGGCAGTTGCGGGTGCTACCAAGGTATACAAATTTGTCTACTACCCCAAGTCGACTACCAACAACAAAAATAATTGATGGTTCTATATACTGAATTACTCGAGAAGTTTGATATATCAGCACGATCTGGTCAAGGCTGATGGACAGTCCAAAAGCCTTACATAACCCTGACATATATACTCTGGATGAGTTAAAACAGATAATTCACGATGAAATTCACAGTATCCCAGCTGAGATTTTGCTGCAGTCAATGAGGAATATCAACAGCAGATTTTAAGAATGCATTCGTACAGGAGGACGCCATCTACAGGACGTAATTTTACAAAAATGAAAATTCCATCATTGTTTCTTAAATGGCATGGTTTATGATTTCAATTACTATGAATAAAATATTTTTCATCCATCACTCTTGGTATTATTAGATTGTTAAAATGTTCCCGTTTTTATGGGTCACACTATATATAGGTAGTATTTTGACAATATCAGAAGGATCTCTTACATCATAGATCATGACCTGGAATGACAGATTCACTCAATTTCCCATCGCCGTAATGAGGCTACCATATGCTTTCTTCCATACGTATTTTCATGGTAATTTTTTGGGTGTGTTTGTCTTTTTGGTACCTTGGCTTCCTGAATATAAACGTAGTAATAGAATGGCAAAACGTCCATTTTGAAATCATTAGACTATTTACATTATTCGGACTATTATCCTCATCTTTGTCGCCATATATAGTACAACGTTTCGGCTATTGTACGCTCTGGCCTTCTTCAGGTGGTTGGAATATCGAACTGAACCCTTTATTTCGCCCAGTGGGGTAGACTGTTCTAGTTCCACCTAGAACATTCTACTCCAAACGCTGTAATAAATATGGCGACAAAGACGAGGAAAATAGTCCGAATAATGTAAATAGTGTACATAATACATCATCTCAGAAATATAGATAGATACTGAAAGGCCTATACGTTTTAATAAATATGGCGACAAAGATGAGGACAATAGCCCCAATAATGTAAATAGTGTACATAATACCTCATCTCAGAAATATAGATAGATACTGAAAGGCATATACGTTTTAACAAATATGGCGACAAAGATGAGGACAATAGCCCCAATAATGTAAATAGTGTACATAATACCTCATCTCAGAAATATAGATAGATACTGAAAGGCCTATACGTTTTAATAAATATGGCGACAAAGATGAGGACAATAGTCCCAACAATGTAAATAGTGTACATAATACCTCATCTCAGAAATATAGACAGGTACTGAAAGGCCTATACGTTTTAATAAATATGGCGACAAAGATGAGGACAATAGCCCCAATAATGTAAATAGTGTACATAATACCTCATCTCAGAAATATAGACAGGTACTGAAAGGCCTATACTTTTTAATAAATATGGCGACAAAGATGAGGACAATAGCCCCAATAATGTAAATAGTGTACATAATACCTCATCTCAGAAATATAGACAGATACTGAAATGATTAGATTTTACCGTTTCTTTTGAAAGTTCTAATCTATTTGTTTTTTCTCTCACATTTCTTCCCTGTAGTACTCTCTTCAGATTCCCTTGCTTTTTTTTTGTCAACTACGATCTTTAAAGATATAAATGCAACGCCAATCCCCAATTTCTGTTTACTTGAATCCTGTTATTTTATTGTCCGTACTAAAAATATGTTTTGTTTCTCAATGTCATTTATTCTCAGTAACCCCTTGCGTCTTGTTGAATTTATCTCCTTGAGTGAGGTGAAATAATAAAGAAAAACACTCTCATTAAACTGAATAATTCAAACGAGAGTAAGGAAGTTAACAATGATACTGATTATATAATTGCAAACAAAGGAGAAGTGGGGCAATAAAAGGAAGGGCTTAAAGAAGAAAAAGAATTAAATTCATGGAAGAAACATACAGTAATATGCAATGTACAATAAGGTAAGAAAAAATGTATGAAGAAGAGAAAAATAGAATGAAGATATGGAAGAGTAAATACTGACTCCATGCCCTATGAAAGAAAGAAGGAAAGAAAGAAAGAAGACCGAGAAAATTTCCGACAGAATAAATATTGCGAATAAATAAGTCAAAAAAAAAAAAAGCAGAAACAATGATGGAGAAGGAAAGACAATAGCGAGAAGTCAAAACGACAGACGAAATCCAGTTTGAATATTGTATTTTACCCCTTATGCTTCACCGGGTTTCTGAGCCAACTGACAAAATGCCAGGTCTATCGACCCGACCCAGCCCGAACAGCCCGGATCAGAGCATCCAAAAATAAAATAATTTTACGTCCCTCGATTTATAAAGCGTGACTGCTGAAGATGTATCTCGTTGTGCCAGAACGAGACAGTAGAGGCTTAACTTAAAGTAGCGAGTTTTGGTCATTTGTGGTAAAGTATGGTCCACAAATGAATAAACGTATATAATTGCCCATAGATTTCTAAGATGGAAGCCAGAAAGCAAAACAATAAAACGGATGCTTATTTCCCGATAAACAATGCCATTATCCGTCAGAGTGTACTTCCATTTTTGCCAGGTCAATCTAACTCCATCAGTTTTCTCCTGTCTTTTAAATTTTATTGTTTTTACTATAGTTCACCTAATACAAAGCCCAAGTGCCACTTAAGATAGAGGGTTACTGCAATGAGTCTATAGTGAGGGAGAGACAGTTGAATATTATAAAGATATCGTGAATTGAAAACGGTTGACCGCTGATATTACAATATGAAAATTCTAATGATTAGGGAAGCATCAAATGTGGAGGTCTTTTTACATAACAACATTCCTGGAGCAGAAGTTATCTGAATTGAGCTGACTCCTTACCGTTGGAATATGATAGGAATGTGGGTGAGTTGATCTAGTGTACGTAGCATAGCGAGTATGTTATGGTCTGGTGAAACGAAGGAACACATTTCAGCTGAAAATCTGCCGTAAAGTTAGCGATATAGTAAACAGATTCTATCAACGTGTAATGCGAAGAGGAATAACTGATTTCTCGTATGCACATTCATAATAAATAATGAAAAGTAGATGGGACATCTGTCACTTAGATTTCTATGGCACCGAAAAAATCAATTTAATATGAATTAATAACTCACTGCTATATTTTCTTTAATGCAATGTCAGAATAGAAACGGTATCTCCAAGGATCCCTTCTTTTATATAGTGGAATTAATACATAGAGCCATCGTCATTGTCTAAAAAATTCAGAGTTATTTAATCCATAGTTGAAGCGAAAAAATGGTACTTGGACATTTGGCCGACGGACATTTTGCCGACGGGCATTTAACCGAATGTGCATTTAGCCAAAAGTGTTGTAGCGTACTTACATATATTTCACACTTTTTATCGTAATGTGCTATATATAATTATATTTATTTACATTATTAATTTATCATTTTCCCTATTTTTATTTATTTATTTATTTATTTTTTTGGCAGGATTTTTTTTAAATCTATTCCGTATATATTATATCTACTTCAAATATTACTTTAAACATTTTGAAAAAAAAACACACATTTTACTAGAGTAAAAATAAGCTTTTACAGTATGAAAGATCTTTCAATGTCGTTTTAAGGATCGTTATTTTAAATGGATGAACTAGATGTTTATCTTACTGTTAAATACAAATTTAAATTATTAGGTCCTACTTTTTACCCAAATACACTCAAATATTTGTAAAATACTAATTTCAATAAACAAAGATTGAAATAAGAAAACTTTTAACATTAAATTTAGATTTAGTAATCTAATCACTCGAAATTCAGTGCTAATTATTACTCCTATTCTACCTTATAATACATCTAATTAAAATACTTAAAGTATTGCTTGTTACTATTTTTACTTGTACATTTTTGGCCAAATGTCCGTCGGCAAAATTTCATTAGTGCATATATGTTAAACAGAAATCAACAGATTAGGGTTGAATTTGAATTCTATCCACCAATTCAATTTTCCGTTAAACTACCCGGATATGCAGCCATAAGAACAAATGTTAATATTGTTTGGTTTGGTTTGGTTTCTTTTACTGCATATCAACCTCAATGGGTTATTTAATGCCGACAAGATTTTTTTATTGCTGGTAATATTTCTCTTTATTTATATCAAATGTATTACTGTTAAGATTTTTTCCTTCAAAAATCTATCTCTGGTAATATTTTTTCTTCAAAATTGTATCAGTTGTAATTTTTTTCAAAAATGTATAGCTAGTAATATCTTTTTTCAGAAACGTATTGCTGGTAATAATTTTTTCACAAAGCATTTCTAGTATTAAAACATATTTTTACATTTTCATAGTTTGGGGTTTAACTATTTGCTCATAGCTTGGACCCCTAACAGGTGCTACAACCCCGGGCCAGGGTGGATCTGGAAACACCAGCAATTAAGAGGTGGTTCCACGCTCCTCAACACCTCCTGATTAGAGGCCTTGCTGTTGGACGTATTTTATCGTTCTACCTATGACGCGGATGTAGTTTATCGTCTTACCCAGGACGCTAATATTGTTTGTTCTATAGTTTCATTGATAGTAAAAACGTAAAATAAAACTTTCTATACTCAATGATAACCACTGCGAAATAGTTAAATATATATGGCTTGTAACATTGGTTAAATCAAAATCTCATATGCTGATTTTGTAGGCATATTCTTCGCTTTAATGTGAAATTTCCAAGAATACCAGCTTCTTTCGCTCTGGCTTTGTAACATTGCCCTATTCGTAACTATTTTGTCCTCACTATTATTTAGCAGTTATAAATCTCACAGATGGGTGTCAATGCTTGGCGCCAAACCAATTCAGAATTATCTTAACTGTCAGCAGCATACAACCGCTTTCTAAGATTAAGGGTTAAATATCACTCCGAGCGAGTAGAATCTGGAATCACAAAACAAGCAATGCACCAGATAAAAAATCACTTGACGACTTTCAATAGAAGCATCAGCTAACATGGATATCAGTCGAAATTCAAAGGAGAAATAAGTCCATAGTCAAGACCTTCCACACTCATTCAAATAAAATGATAGGAAGTAAATTTGTATCAATACTGGAAAGAGTTATAATAGCTACTGGACTTGAGAAACCTATTTTCCTGAAAAAAAAAACATTCAAGGAAACGTTTTTGTAAATTTCAAACTACTGTAGTCCTGTCTGCTCGGATAATGAATGACGGATGTTTCCTTATCGGGAAACGACCTTGACAGTATATTTTCTAAATATACATTAGCAATATAGAGCTAATCTGCCTTCTTCGGCCTTCATCAATCACTATCACTTCACTTCCTATTTAGAGTTAATATATTATTATTTTACAAAGGCTAATTTTCACTAAGCTTGAAGAATATTTCCTTTTACGTACAAAGTTAAAAGAAAACTCTGTAATTAGTATGCTGTAACTCTGTAATAATATGCTGATATATTCTTATTTAGAGCACTGACAGATATTTATAGGATTTAGTATTTATTCGGAGTTTTGTGATCAGGACAAGAATGTTATTTAATGTTTAAGTAAGTGCATATTAACAGCAACAGTTTTAACAGTTTGAATATTGCTCTAACAGCATTTACGCCAGGATGGGCCGTTTTCGATAAATACAGTGAATCCTTATGATATGAAGGCATATTAGAATATATATTTTTTTATATTTTTGAAGTCCAATGACCTTATCGAAAATATTAAACTTAGTTTAATCTGACATAGAAACAGTAGGGGAAAATAGGTAAAAAATATGTAGCGCTAAATATCTTAATTTAATAAGATCTATCTAATCTAAATATCGAAATACTCGAATTTATTCGGGTTCAATTTACAGCAACTAGTACGAAAGTATGGTTCAATATTCCAGGTGTGTATTTTTAAAGACTTCAACCAGCATATCAAACTAGGGTCAAGATAAGAGAACATTGCCCTTAGAAAGATGTAATAAATAGGAGTGACCTTTCATAAATAGCATCTTTCAAAATCCTAAGTTTAATACAAGTAAAATAGCAACTACCAGTGATAAATGCACAACTCTCTTGCCTTCAAGACTGTCCGACGTTGCTTTTTTTCTCTCATGAAGATAAAGTTCATAGCGATACTAACCATGGGTCAGATAGGAGATAGAAAAGCGAAAAAAAAATATCAATTTATCGATATTATTGGCACTGACCGAAAGGAGAATAGTGTTCTTCACGGTATTATATCAGACTTGAAGTGAAAACGACATGGCTAGAAATAAAGGAATCTTGTCCTGAATGGTTGCTATTTCTGGATGTCTGTTCATTTATCGGGAAGGGTCACCAATCGTAAGATGATTTCACGGTCACTTGGCGGTAAGTATTATTAAAAGAAAAGACATTCGATCACGCATCGTCGTCCTGCTCTCGATCAGGACGACGATGCGTGGTCGAATATAGAATATTGATGTGTTTGATGTGCGTGTTCTCGGCCGGACACTTTTTGTAGCATAGAAAATACAACGAAAAAAAATGGTTCTAAAGCTGTGTAGGTGTAAATTTATCTACAACGTGTATGCATTAGGATAAACTAATATGTTCATATCCCGCAGTAAGTTATTAAATGCTGTATCGTGGTTTCTGTTTACAGTGGTTGACCCCAGATATAAACTTTTAAGAATGTTTACTTAATAATTGTTTTAAAAATACATGTGTAATAATAGTGCCACCCTGATAGTTATAAAAGAAGCTATATACTTAAAAGTTCCCTAATTAATGAGGAACAATAACACGGGTTAGGGGTGCTAATATCTATGGTGAAAAAACATTCCCCCAGGAATCGGTCCCACATTAAACCAGCTCTGAGAAGAAGATCTATAACGTATTTCTTACTAAAGGAATATGAAGATGATGAGGGTAGGTCGAATGAGTTTACCAGGAATTGGCGTGTGCAATATGTGAAGAATTGGACGGGTGGAACCAAAGAATGTAATTTGCTTAAATATCTACTGTGAGTATTGTCGAAGATTAGCGAGAGGTTGGCAAAATTCAATGGAAAATCGGTTCAGTAACATATA